CTGGGTCTGTTGGCAGGAGTGTTTTGGATCAGAAGGTGGGCATGGTGTTTGTACAACATCCGTACATGTTCAGGATTTGCTCACATCCCTTTAGAGTCAGGGCGTTTGTCCAAGAGCTGTAGGAAGCTTTCTGTGCAGGATGGGTGTACTCATGCAGATGAGTATCCAAGGGTCGTTCCTGTGCAGGATGGGCGTGTTCAGGCCTGATGTTCCTGTGTGGGATCTCTGTGTTAGGCTTAACATCTTTTGGAATAGTTGCAAGAAACAGCCCTGCAGACCCCAGGGCAAGGGAGAAGGTGGGAAAGTGGTGCTCCAGGCATAACAGCAAATGTTCCTATTACTCTGGCTTTTGTCTCAAGCCATGCATTTTACAGGTTTTCTCCTCCTACTCTCTCCACCAGCAAACTACCCTCAAAGCCACAGCAGTACTGTGGGAAGGGTCACAAAGTTCTGAATATTTTTCTCTGTGCCTGCTCTGCTCAGCCCCTTGGTACCCTGCAAAAATAGGGACCAAAAAATGGACCTCAAAGGACCAGTGGCACCCACTGGGACTTTTATGTGGGTTTGGTCATGTGTACTCCTGGATGGAGGGAGATTATGTTTCTTGTTTGTATTCATCAATTCTCCCTTGAACACCTTCAGAACTCTTGACTGAATACCATCCAGGCCTGAAGAATCCTACTGGTATGTTTTATATGATTTTTATATATAGGTTTACAACATTCAATATATTTATTAGGAGCTATATAATTTAGTGTAAAGGTTCTCTCCCTTTAAATTTCTGATGTCTGTCCAGCAGTGGCATTACACTTAAATATATGGAAAGTAGTTTACTAATGCAATCTATTCCATACCTTCTATAAGTTGTAAAAGGTTGCCCAGATTTAAAAGGCAATTGGAAATATTAATGGAAGAAAATTCTGTCAATGGCTATGAAATATAAAGACTCGGGCCCAGCAGTACTTTGTAGTATCCTCTGGAGATGTTTCATTACAATTTTGACCTGATCTCACAGTGCTTTGGCACTCACTGCTTGTGGGAGAATTTCTGATTGCTAATGGACATGTGAGCAATCCAGTCTTGCTAGCAGGGCCCGAGCAAGCCGCAAGCTAAGCCATTCAAGGACACTGCTGTGGTTGGAATGTGAGAAAGAAGGTAGCGAGATAAACAACTCCCGGCTGTGGAATGCAGAAGTTGAAGATATTTAGGGATGGAGAATAATGATGAAGCATTTTATGATTGGTATGTTAATAACCAATTATATTGTGTGTAAGGCAGACTAGTAATAGTAGTTAACCAATAATAAGTAGATGCTTATAGTAGGAGTGTATAAAAGAATCACTTTTGTAAATAATAAAGGACATTCACGAGACATTCACAAAGATAATAATGGCGTCGCCTTTTTGTACATGAATGCCCACAATATTCCCCAACCCAAAGCCGTACAGAAGGAACTTCAGATAATTATGGATGCTTCTGCTTTAATCTGCTTCATGGAGATAGATTAGATAGAAATAAACTAGTAGCTGCAAGTGTTCCAGCACAGGCATAGCTCCTACGAGTCATTCAGGCTACTTCCAGGTCCTCTTCACCTCAGATGAAAGGGAGACAGTTGTACTAGGCCTTCCTGTTTGCACTGAAGTCCTACTCAAGCCGTAGGTGTTGTCATTTTTGTCACTCCAGCTTACTAGCTCTAATGAGTAGAAGGGCTTCAAGCTCGGAGCTCCGCAGGAGTATCTGGCTGCCGGGATGGGTGGCTTACCTTGAAGGCCTCTAACTCCAAGAGAGCTTTATTTATTCTGGTTATTGTGGGATATGGACCCATGTTCACTTTGAATCTGCAAAAGGAAAATAATTTATGAAGTACTATGAGTCAGACAGCCAGTGCAGCAGTGAGCAGAAGGGCAGAGCAGTATGCTATGCTATGCCTGCCCAGTATGGGAGAATCTCACAGACATTTACAGTAAGAGAAAAGGTTCATCATCCTTGGAGGTTTAAAAACAAATGCTAAAAAGATTAATTAGTGCCCAGAGAGGTAGAAGTCTCCTTCTCTAGAGATAATCAAAACCCATCTAGATGCAATCCTGTGCCACTTGCTCTAGGTGAACCTGCTTTGGCAGGGGAGTTGGACTAGATGATCTCCAGAAGTCCCTTCCAACCTCAACCATTCTGTGATTTTCACTGGGCCTTTATATAATGTGCAGCAAAGAGTAAGAAGGCACTATGCTTTTCCTAGGACTCATGAAGTCACTACTTGTATGGGTTTCAGGCTTTAAACCAGTATAGTCAGATTAATCTTTTCCTCCTATATGCAGTGTAAACATAGGGCAAACAGAGAGAGAGAACATGGAATCTGGGCAACTTCAGCTTTTCTAGGGGCATAGATCAGGTTTTCCCCAGAGGCCTCTGAGAAAAGAGCACAGCTCCTTATGTCCAAGACCTTCCAAAAGAGAGACAGTATTTATGACAGGAAAATTCATGGACAGAACCATAACTGGATAGGGCAGGCAGGAGGGACACTTTCTAACAGGCACAAGGAGCAGTGAAGGTAAGCTCTGACAGCCCAGTAGGTGCCCTTGAAGAAATGCTTCAAGCTTAGCCTTAAGTACCTCTCAGCATTGACAACTTGAGGCGCCAAGCACAAATCAGCCATGGAAACCTGCAAATGTAGCAGAGAAAAGGGGGTTAGAGTAACTTGAAGCCTGTCCCACCACACTTCTCAGTGGTGGCAGGCTTTGAGAGCTGGAGAGAAATAATTTTATCAGCCAACACAGAGGAGTTGTCACAACAACCTAATTCTTTAATCCAGCATTAATAATACAGCAACCGTACAAGGAAAAGAGCTTCATAGCAATCGCTAGTAGAAGTGATCAGCCTTTGGGGAGCTTTATATTTGCCAGCTGATCACAATGACCTCAGGGGCACTGTGCTTCTATGGCAACTGCCTCTGAGCAAAGAGTTCTGCTGGCAAGCTTCAGAGGGATGTGATGGAGGGAGAGGGGTGTTTGCATGGCTGGGAAAAGGTGAGTAAATTTTGCTTATTTGCACTGCAGGAGTGTCAAGCAGCTCCTGCAATGTCAAGACTTGATATGTGATAGGGCCTTTGCACACAGGCTCAGGGACTTGCAACCTGAAAAGAAGGCCTGAGGACAATACTGCTAGCTGCCTTTCCACACAGAGGCAGCTGCCCCCACCTCACTCCCCAGGTCACAAAGCCCAGGGTGCTTCTCAGAGCACACATTATTCTCCAACATTAGATCTTGTAAGCAGCTATTGCCCACCAAGGGCTTCAAAAGGCTACTAGACAATCCTCTGCATCACAGGATATTGCAGGAGCCTTCCTGTTTTCTCAGGCTTTCATAGGAAAGATCCAATTGCCTGCCAAACAGAACTACTAAATGGAAGATGCCTGGGCCACCTCTAGCTCAGTAAGGATGAGAACAGCTTGTATGTGAGCTCTGTGAAATCTATTCATGTTAAAACAGTGCAGAAAAATACAAGCTGGTTAAAGGGTCCAAAGAGTAGAGCTAAGAACTGATCCCATGTTTTTTAAGACAAGCTTTGCCCCTATGACAGGACACTTTGAACTCTGAGTCTCTTCAAGATGAAATGCGTACCACCTGTTTCCACATTGTCCAGTAGCAGCCATATCCTAGATACAGCTGCAGAATCTGGCCATCAGCAGGTTAGGCAGAGACAAGTAAACATCCCCGTAACTCCTTGCCAGTTAGGAATGGCCTAAGTACGATCGATGCAGCTGTTTTGTCTTAGGGTGGAGGTACTGCATGCAACTCCAGGCACAGGATAGGTTTGTACTCTGTCTCCTCAACTGATTTTCTTTTCTCTTTTAGGGAAAATAATAGGGTTGTCAGTTTCAATGGTACACAATGCTCTCTCAGATACTTACTTCATCCCCCACACAGTAGCGTCCAGCAGAGTGCTGCAGAATCTGCTCCAGTGCTGTCAAGAGAGGTGGTACACTGATGTGAGGCACTGGAAACTCAGTTGGAAGGAACACCAGACTTTTTAGACTGGGAATTATGAACAAAGGCATTTTGACCCTGAGCTGAGTATGAAAAAGGATCAATTTGAGACAGAAACTACAAGGAACAGAAATCTTACAACAGCATAGTTATGGGAGTCTTTAGGGACTTTAGGGCTTTTTGAACCCAGGGTGATTTCAGCTGCCTCAGAAAAAGTGCCCAAAATACTAAGAGGATAACATAGAGATATGGGATTGAGGAGGAGAAAAATGCAAAGGTTCAGTCAGTTTGTGTCTGTCCAGAAGTGAAGATGGGCCTGTCATTCCAGCACATGGGGGAAAGGGTTTTGAGGAAACAAAAAGCACCCTGTTTCTCCCAAAGAGGTAAAGAAATACCCCGCTACTTGCTAGACTCTGTGGGAGTTTGCCATCAGGCATCTGTTGTCTGATTGCAAAAGCATACATATATATATATGTATGTGAAAAACCAACAACACTGAAGCAAAGGGCACTAGTTTGGGAGCAGCTGGATGGAAAGAAGTGCTGAGAGCCCTTATGCTTCAGAGAGAATCAACTGCTGCAGTGTGCAGGATGGCCCCAGGCTTGTCATATTCCATGCACAGCAGTGTTAGTGCCCTCTGGACAGCATCTTTCCTCTGAGACCCACAGGAGCTACCAGTCCTGCACAAGGGGCTCTGGGCAGGAAGAGCACTGTCTCTGTCAGCAGGGCAGAACCCCAGCACACCAGGCTAGGGAGAGCTGGTGTTCTGCGTGAAAAGGAAAGTAGGACCCCAGCAGTGCAGAATTTTGTAAGGTCAGCTGAAATGCTGATCATTTTGGATGTGGGATGTACCTTGAAAGCCAGAGGCGATACACTTCTGAGCCCATTCCATTTTTTTCTCACCCATTTGATTCAGGACAGTCAGGTTCTGTGAAGTCAAGCAATCTGTAGATTAGATGACTGCTGCTGGATGGATCTTGTTCACTGTGCCTCATCCAGTAGCGAAGGGAGATGAGGAGTTGCCAAGCCTGAAGCCCTAGCTTGAGTTCAGTTGATTGAATCAGCCCTGACCTCACCCTCATTGATGTACTCTGCTGTATCTTTCTTTTGGCACTGTCTTTCTGCAATAGTTGCCAGGATATCCCTTTGCCTCTGCCCTTTGGGTTGCTCAACTGTCTTCTTCCTAAAATGTCCTAGACCCAGCAGTAAAACCATATGGGTTCAGCTGTTTCTGGAAAGAACCCTGTCATAGGATTTTCTGTATTGGAATTACGGTGTTGTTGCCATTAGCAGACCAGGCAGAGGCTAAGCAGAAATTTCATCTGCTAATACAGAAGTCTTAAGTTCTGCCACCCTGTTGGCTGGCAACAATTTAAAGATGGATTCAGCATTCAGAGATGGAAATCCTTTCTGATTTTCTCACTTGCATGTATATGACAAGGTAGTACCTGGAGTGGTTGAATGCCTGAGGCAATGTGATCAGCGATCATTCTGACTTGGGCTCTCTTCTTTGGATCTTGGGGCAGGAGCCTAGGGTTAGGACGTGTCTCTTCGAGGTAATGAATTATAGCTAGCTGTAATGAACAAAGAGATAATGGGAGGTTATTGGAGAGCCAAGGAAAAGTTTACATCCTGAACACTGGAATAGGGGAGCCGATCCAAGGAGTATACAACAGCTTTTGAAGGAAGTTTGTTACCAGTCCCCTCTGATGTCTGTGTGTGACCTTGACATTTAGTCCAGCTGTAGTTTCAGGCAGAGCCTGGCACAGCCATTTATGTCAGACTACAACCTGCTCAGTGAACAAAGCAGAATTGAATTAAAATCCTTGACACAGTTTCCCAGCAGAGACTATGTGCCTTTTCTGTTCCCAAGTGGGATTGTTCATCATAAATTCCATCTCTTTTCCAATGCACAGATAGAAGCTCCGGGGTAAAAGATGGGGCAAAGCCATACCCTCCAGACTGGGCAGCAGGTTGGTAACTCACCGACTGAGAAAGGGTGATGCCATCAATTTTCAAGGCTGGGACTTGCTGCATTGGATTCAGTGCCTTGAATTCAGCAGAAAACTGTGGAAACAAACCTGAGATTACCCTACAGCAATAAGAAATTCATCTTTGTTTTCTTCCCCTAGAACTCAGTTAACAAATTCTTTTATTTTTTTACCTGCTTTTTCTCTCTACCTCAAAACTAGGATTTGCAGTACTATTAGCCTACAGCAAGCTCTCACTAGGGCTCAGGGATCACTGACTTATCACTTCAGAAACCATCACTACAACACCCAGGATGGGTGGTACTGCATCAGTGTTGCCATTACTGTTCCAGTTCTCCAGCTCTGTCTTAGCCCATACTGGCACGTTGATCCAGTGGTACCACTAGGTGCACAACTCCCTGCTAGGGACCCTTGACTAAGTTCTCAGTGGAGATCTCTTCTGGTAACCCACCCCTTCCTCTGGCAGGTCCTTTGCAGTGCCCTGCAGTATCTATTAGCATCTTTTGGATGCTCCCTCAACATAGACAGTTTCTGGTGCTAATTGAATGAGACTGAGTCTGTGTTTAAGTGCAGTGCAGCTTCTCTGAAGTCCGTGCACCAGATATGTTCAGTTACATTATGCTAAGTAAAAGGTTTTCAGCCTTATGAATTTCATCACAGATGTTTGAGAGACAAAAAAGCCTCTAGCCTCCTGTAGTTATTTTCTCTCTGTCTTGCATGCCAGGGAATACTGGCTGAAAGCAACTATTAATTACAGAGAAGTGGTCAGAAATTCAGTAGTTTTGCCTGTGAACTTTCTAGTGCTAATCCCGAGTCTCCTAATGATCCTCAAGTTCAGTACCCTTGGAAAGCGCAATGGTATCTTTATCCTTACCTGCTGTCCTCCATCCTTGATGAGGTTCACTGGCACCAGGTCATAGGAAATCCCTTTCAGAGCCAGTGCTAGGGAGAGCAGAGTGCACAGCTTCAGACAGGAACACTGAGACCAGTTTCATTGGTAATGGGCTCAGGGAAATGTTGCCATCTCCATTTGAAAAAGGACCCTATCCCTCAGGAAGGGTGGCCTTAGTGCTCTGGCAATTGAAGGACCAAAGCACTAAAGATCAGTCCTGGCAAACTACTGCATTTTTCAAAATAAGCTTTGCCACTCTTTGAAGCCCAGTCCTTCCTGATTCAGCCTACCGAAGGCAGGGGCCATGTGCTTGCCTGCACAGCCTTGCTGTCTCAGTGCAATTAGGGACCATTCCCAGCCCTGCTTAACTTTCAAGACCCGAGCAGAGCAGAATCTGAGGCAGTATCATGAAGTCCTCTTGTCTATTCCACTCCCACCTGCTCCAGGTAAGCTTTGGTGTTCCCTCCCACTGGGGAAATGCCTCACTGTTCCAGGTTCATGTTTGCTGACCTCTCTCATAATAAGTGAGTGATTAATCAGGTTAGTGAAGGGGAGGACACTGCAATAACACCAAGACAAAAAAAAAGAGATATCAAGACTGGATCTTACCGATTCGCACTCTCCAAGAGCAGGAACTTCGGAAATAGCCATAAAGTATTGGCTGAAAAGAGAAGACAGTTAAAATGGTTATATGCTGGGACCCCCAGAGTTCTGTAAGAAGAATGCATGAGCAGAAGGTGTTTCAGGAACTGTAAAACTGGGAAGAACAATATTTGGGGAAGAGAGGGCACCTTTTTGAAAGTGATTGTTCCTGACTTGGGCATACAGGTAGTATCACTGTCCTTCATGACAGCCCTCTGATTATTTACTTGCATCTAATGTTTCCAGCAATGCACAAGTGACCTTAAAATTATTCCCTACAAAGCTTGCCTCTTTGGCCCTATCCAATGTTGCTATCTGCTATCCCATCTTAGGTTTCTGAAACTAATTCCACACTGGTTGTACGAAGCAACTGCACTGGCTATTTGGATGGCATGAAATAGCTTTTCCAGCCACACAGGGAAAGGCAGGTCTCTTTCCAAGCAGGAAGCACTTCTGTTTGAGATGCAAGCCGAGAGGACAGATGATTCATCCCTACCTGAACTATAGCACCTAGGCAGCTTTTTCCTGGACACTTCCACCCTGTCCAAGCTCTCACCTTTTCAGATGCCATGGTCAGTGTGTGCAGTCCACTCCAGGAAAAAAAACAACCTCTGTTTTACCTTTTAACTCAGCTGGGATGGGGCAAGGCTTCTCTCCTAAAACCAATCAGGAAAGGACTATGCCCCCAAGTCTGTGCCCAGAACACAAAAACCAGCCAGTCAGATTCAACCCTGAATCACTGCAGTTACCCCCTCCCAAACCTGAATTCAGAACTATTAACCAGCTTTAAACTTGGAAGCACATCCAGGAACCATCCTTATTTCCCTAACTTTTCATCCAGAAACAAGTAAGATCTCTAGAGAGCCTCTCAGGCTGTCAGCAGTTGCCAACACAGAAATCTAGTCCTGTGGAACAAAACAAGGAAACCAAAGCCACAGGAAGAAATTCCATTTCACTAGGGAATGACTGCTAGCTCCTGGAACACAGGCTGCCTTTGTGGTGAGGTCCCTTAGGGTGCAGCCCTAGTCCTCCTCCCATCAGTACCAGCCAGTGCAGGGAGGTTTTCTACACCACAGGCCTGGGAGAGGCTGCTGCTCTGCTCCCAGACCAATGCTGTGCAAGATACAAAGACAGCTTTTGTGTGTAATAGTATTTTCTTTCCACACAGGAAATTGGTACTTAGGCATGTCTGTAAATAAACCTGTAATCATGGCTCTCCTTCCTTCCATTGACATGCCACAGATCGCTCTGTGTCTCTACCCTCCTAAAATGCATAGAAATTTTACCAGAGACTGGTGACAAGGCAGAAGAAAGCAGGGATTTGCCCACTGACTGTCAACAGAAAACCAGAGAGACACCAAGGATCTCTGTGCTCCAGTCCTCTTTGGAAACTTGATGTTTCTCACACAGTTTAGATTGGTTCAAAAAATGTTAAATGAGGTGTGCCTTTGATTAAAGTGCTTTAGTCAAATTTAGTAGAACATGGTTTATAAGCAAAGAGGGAAGCGATGGCACTACTGACAACACTTTAGTGGACAAAAATTTACTGATTTTCTTAAATTCTCTGCTTCAGGGATCACGGCATTAGAAATCTCAGCTGTGCTTTTTTTCCCAAATGTCTAGCCTGAAGTGTTGCAGGGAAAGAAACAGAAACCATGGCTCCAGAAGAGAAACATACAGCATTCATGACATACTATTTTTACTGGTTTTTTTTCCTGAGGACCTTGCTAGTGATCTTTTGGCTCAGAAATTCATGTCCTTCACCACATCTGGTTTGGACTCTGGCCTCTCAGCTGGCAGAGGCATCACTCCTGATCCTCTACAGTTCTTTTTTTGGTTTTGCAGCCTGTGCTATCATTTGGAATAAACTGTACTCAGCTAATTGCTGTGCTTTATAATTTCAAGGCCCTGGGGGATTTCACCGAAAAGAACATGGAAAACAACCCATCGTTCAGCTGGGAACTGTGTCTCCAGAGGCTGGGGCCTGGAGTGATCTCATCAGCTCATGCTGTTCTGCTCCCAGCAGCAGGGCAGATCACAGCCAAAACAATCAGCTAAGTAAAGACCAGAGACAGCAGAAGAGTTTTGCCTTAACTGGACAGGTCTCAGAGTAATACCTTCCTCAGAAAAAGAGCTGAGCATGGGCCAAGGAAGCACTAGAAAAGAACTGTCTGCATCTACAACCCTGAGAGGTACAATCCCCATAAGCTGCAGGTTAGACTGTCTGGAGCTGGGGCAATAGCAGGAGGACAGTATTTGCTTGACATCTACTGAGATTTCTGGTTTTGGTTCTGTTTTAGTTTCCAGCATCAGAGAGGAAAACCAGTCCAGACTATAAATCTGGGAAATGCATTTCACTGTTGTGGAAGATGGAAGAAACACCCCAAACTTTGTGTGTAGAGCTCTCTGGTTTCCAAGCCTGTCTACTTCAATATAGTCTGCTCTGGATACCACCTCTTTCCAGGCTGTATTCAGGATTCGCTTGGAAAGGCAAAGTCTCCTGTTTCTTGAGACCCATCACGCCAAGCAGCCTACACATATACAGAGGGGTGTCCGAAAGGCACCGCCGGGTTCAAACGTAAAGGTACGAGCAGAAAGCACAGGTTTGCTTCTAAACTCTCAGCACCTCTGCAGCAGGTGTTGGTGTCGATAGCGCACGTGGGCAGGCCACGACAAGCAAACACCACGGCCGCTGGGAAAAGCACAGCTTTACTTAGCATGGGGGCAAACTCCCTCCCCACGGAGACAGGCACGGGC